CGGGCTCGGAGCGTAGTGAGAGTCCCCGGGAACACGCCTGCAGCTCCGTGCTGTGGCAGCCTGGCGGGGAGCGGAACCACGCGGGTCCCTCTCTCAGCGGTGTGGGGCAGCTCCCGGAACCCTCCCCTCACCGAAGCGGGGTGAGACCCTGTACCCCGGGGGCACAGGGCACCTCCTCCTGTCCGCCCCTGGCCAAGGGGCGACCCGTCCGTGACGGGGATACCCCCGCTCCAGATGATGGAGCTGGCTTTTCTACCGGACGACGGCGGACTCGACACTCTTTCACTGCCAAGTGCTGTGTGAACGGGCCCGATTTCGGAAGTAGAAATGCGGTAACCCGAAACATGTCCACCTGGGACCCCCCTCGCTCCCCTCCATTCCCTGGGGGGGCCTCCGTGAAGGCGGACGAGGGTCCCAAATCCCTCTGGGCTGAACCAGAGGAGGGTAACGCCGTCCGCTGGGGAAGGCTTGGGCTGCCGAGACCGGGCGGGAGACCCGGTGTGCGCAGGGAGCTCAGTGGCATCCGCACCCCGCGCACACCGGGGCCCCGTCCCGCCCGCCCCCGTGTCGCCTCCGCGCCGCTTCAGAGCTGTCCCTGCTGCGGGGGGACAGAGTGCGAGGGCGTAGGGCAGGGGGGAACACAGCAACGCTCCGGTTCAGCGCGTGTTCCGCCTGCTGGCTGGAATAATAATAATAACAACAACAGCAACAACAGCAGCAACAGCAGCAGCAGCAACAACAACAACAGCAACAACAACAACAATAATAATACCACCACCCTGTCTGCTGGTAGTTCACTCATAGAATAACGAGCAGGTGTAGGAATATTTCATGGGAAAAAAATTAGATTACCAACTGTACAATAATAATATCAAAACAACGACGAACTTCCCCTAAAGTAACTCGCCTGAGCAAAACCCATTCGAGCAATGCTACCGCAGCAGAGGCGCCATTCGGGAAAATGATCCTTTCTATGAATTCAACTAAATGTAGGAGTTTTACGGGGGGGAGAAAGAGAGGGCATCGCATCCTTTTTCCCTTGTAAAGACAAATGGATTCTGCCGTGAGGTTACATATGCCTTAAACCTTAATGACTGGAGACAAAGGTGAGCGCTGGCAGTTTGATCTGTCCAAAGTTCAAAGATCTGAAGTCTCAATGGGTTTCTGTTTGAGGTGAAGGGGAGAAACAAACACCATGGCAAGGCTTGGGCCAGAAAGTTGTAAGGTTTGCAAGCGAAATGCGACGTTATTTACACTAATCTATCCTTAACTGCTACTTTGTCACAATGGTCAGAATAATTATTAGAAAATAACCAGAGGAAACAAAGGCAGGTTTTCTTCTTATCGCCTCCCCTTTTCCACTCTTCTCTTCCCCAATTATTTTCTACTGCTGAAACAGACCTTTCGAAACTACAGATTGCAGAAAATGTACAAAATATTTCAAAAATATTATTAGTCTACCTTTGCTAGGAGCTCAGAAGGCTGGCTTAGCATCAAGAAGAAGAAAAGAGCCATTTTGCTGCACGACCCTTGACATGTAAATAATCAAACTAATTGCATTTTGATTTTAGCTATTAACCATTCTCCTATATTTCCTAAGCAATATTGCAGCGTGGGAGTTTTGCGGAGACTTACGTGTACATTCTTTACTCCGGTCATACTCTGTGCACTATTGTGGTGTGACTTTTGCCTGGTCATTGTGTATTATGTATATTTCCACTTGCCTCCCCTGGAAAGAAATACATATTAATTATATGTATGTTAATATATACAATATATGCATCTATATTCCTCCTGAGAGAACTTTATACCCCGTGTTTATATGAGGATAATTTGCTTCTTCACGAATTAAATTTAGCACGAAAACGCACACGAAATCTATTTATTTATTAAGGCTCTGATTTTAAAATGTTCTTTTCAGAGTGATTAATCACATATGCTCACACATATATGCCTAGATTCCGTTTCATCAAAACAGGAAAGAAACCATACAAAGTGCATTGTTATCGCAATCAGGTGTTTTATCTACGTTATTTCTGTAAAAAAGCGAGGCAAATGCTCTTCTAAAGACCAGTTGGCGTTACAGCAAGGGAATTAATTTACTTTGTGTTTATACTGACGGACCAATACAAAATACCTACTCAACACATTTCAAAACAATTTTTGAAGCTATGCCAATGTCTGAAATGTTTTCTCGCGCCGTTCTTTCACGATTTACTCATGTTTTATTGACACTAATAGGATTCAAATATAAAACTGTCCGGTAGTTTTTTTTCTTTCTCGTCTTTTAGTAGTCCCGAACATTTAAAATTATTCCTTCCAAACAATGTGTATCCTCCGATTGTTTGCCGATGTAGATGTCAGTGTTGTCCATTCGCACTCAGAAAACAACCCAGCGGTTACTTGTGATTTTATTTCTCCCGCTTGACTTGGGAGGCTGAAGTTGCTTTTATTCCACCGACTCTTCCCTTCTGCCAAGGGCAGGTGCTGCTCGCAGGTGCTCCGAGGAGGTGTCACGGATGGGGGGCGCAGGGGCACCGCGCCCTCTTGCCGGCGGGTGCAGGACTGTGGGACCCCGCGGCAGAGCAGGGCTCCGCTGCACCAGGGGACCTTTCCGCGTCCCCTCGCCCCCGGCTGCAGGGTCTCCGCCGCGTCGCCTCGACAGCACCTGCCCTGCCGGCACACCCAACATCTCCCCCTCGTCCCGGGCCGTGGGCCTCCTCACCGCCCAAACTCCGCGTAAATCTTTACAGAGATCCCCCGCCGCCCCGGTTTACTCCCCGCTTGTATTTAATGACGCTAAATGGGCTGTTTTCTCTCCCTCGCACGTGGCCGGTCGGAGGTAATTGCCGAGCAGGAAAAGACGAAGTTCCCCCTATAAACTGAGGTGTCCGTCGGAGCCTGGAACCTGAAGCCTGGCGGGCTCCAGCTTTGCCTCTGTCCCGGACGCGGGGCTGAGACACCATCTCTGACAGGGGCAAAAGCCCCGCTCCCGCCAGCTCCTTCCCTTCTAGCACAGAGCGACCGGTCCGGCTGGAAGGAGATGCTCGCAAACTCCTCTCTACACACTGCGGGGCGGGGGGGACGCACCCTCTTCTTGTGGAGCCCATTTTCAGCTTATTTTTGCACTCTGGCTCGGGGTTCCCTGTGCACAGGATTAAAGCAGCAGCAGCACGGCAGCTAGGAGAGGAACGTAAAACGGGACTCTTCACCCTGCTGTGGATTTCCATGTCTTAAACTGATCGCGGAATGCTGCCTGCTTTGCTCCGGGGACACGCGTTTTTAACATGAGCTGCATCCCTGTCTTGTCAGCGGCTCGTTGCCCACCGCAGACAGCATTTCCCTACGAGAAGAAAGGGGAGGAATATAATCTTGATGGCGAGTGGCGAAAGGGCACACGCTGCATCCGTGACAGACTCCGCTCCTTATCTCTGAGAGGTTTGGAGCCGCGTCGGTCCGCTTAAACCCTTTTATTACCCACGCCCCAAATATTTCCATTACACACGGTCTGTGCTCCTCAGCTGATATGTGAAACTTGCTGCCTTATCGCTGTCAGTCGATTGATATTTTCCGTGTATAAGCCCAAGGCATTAAATCAATGTTTCCACTCTGCAATGGCATATTCTCTATAGACTAGTCTGCGGGAGACAAGTGAAGTCCTGCTGAAAATTGGCTTTATCCTGTCTCGATTCTCACGAAGCTCCTTTTGGCAGAAGAAGCGGGGCTTTAAATAGGATCCGCCTGCCCAGACTCGGTGCCGAGCAGCCCCGAGCTGCCCCTGCCTGCGGGGGGCCTGTTGATGTTTGCCATTTCGGGACACTCAAAGGCAAAGGTGCCACACAGTCGGGCCATGGGCTAACCGGCCGCACACGGTGACGGGAACAGAGCCCTCTCCCCCCAGCTGCAGGACTCGCATGCGGCAGCCGAGGGGGACCTGCGGTAAATGCCCGCCCGACCAAGCGCACGGCACAGCACGACGCTGGAGACAGCTCCGTGTCGCCAGGAAAGCCGTGCGCTCATCCCCGATCCGGATCACCGCTGATCCGGCCCCACTTGCAAAGCAGAGGGACTCTCCCAAGACTTTCTTTTTTCCACCCGTTTTTAGCTGGGTAGTAGTGCTGGAGGAATGTGGTAAGATTTCTGGGACCCTGGCTTGGCTTTTCTTTTCTAAATCGAACCTTAATTTATCTTGTCGCCGCTGTCTCTAACCCGTCAGGGGGCAATTATGTGATAATTACGAGAATTACACAGTTCTTTTTATCTGGCGGCCGTGCACGAACAGGACTCGGCACAGCGAAATCCGTTCACGCTTAAACTCCCCTCCCCCGACAAAGTCTATTGCTGGGGACCAGAGCTCCCAGCGCGGCTGCTGGTATCGTTCCCACGGATGGTTCCGAGGCAGAGCTCCGAAGCGGGATCCGGGCCTTTCCAGCGGCCCGGAGCCACCCTGGTGATGCTCCCCGCGGGCGTTGTCCCATCTGACGGGGAAGCGCCGAGTGTGGCTGCAGCCGCCCCGGCAGCCCTGGCCTCAGAACACCCAGGAGCTTACATCGCCTCGGGCGGCTTTTTCCTGCCACCCCTCAACATATCCCAACACCGTGAATTAGGGGGAAAAATATAAAATAAAGGACATTACCCCACACTCAGCCTCACAGGCCGGTAGCATCGCAGCGCCCCGCAAGCACACCCTGCGGGAGCGTCCCCCGCCTTTCCTCTGCACAAGCCTGGCCGTACAAATCTCTCCTCTTCACATCCACGCTTAGGCACTACGTTTTGATTTTCTTGCACATGGCTCCGTCCTCCATAACCCGCCCCAGAAATTTTGTAAGAAAATCGCAGAAGTATTTCATTGATAACATTTGATTTATTTAAAGTCCTTAACTGCAAATGATCAAAAACATACTTCACGCATTAAATTCTCAGTTATCGTTTTAAATCAAAATATTTTTTTCAATTACAATCACATTTATAAAATTAACAAAATTTCTTAAATTCACGTGTAATTATTTTTTTACGGTCATTTTAAAGCAATTTCCAGCTGTAAAGAAAGAAAACAATATAAACCATGCAATAAATTAAGAACATTGAAACAGCGAACAGGAATAATAACAAAACCCGTCTGGCTATGCTAATACCGTGTAAAACTGTGGAAAGTGCAATAACACTGGATGAAATAAGCTAACGATGGCGATAATTAAACGGCCACAAAAAAAAAAATATTAGACAAGTTTGAAAAGGGGGGAGAGACAGAGTTGTCCTCTTTTCCTTGCATCAGTGTAGTAGTCAATGTTTCCTAGGGGAGGGGGGAAATAACCTGGTTATAGATACACAGTTCTAGCTGGTACACAATGAAGACAAATTAAATAAGTATGTCATCCACATGTTGATGAGAGTTCCTGATGAACTAGAATCTTCAGTAACAGATGGGAAGGAAAAAAATCCAACTGGCTGTGACCTCTTGTAACTTTATATTACATCCCAAAACACTTGGAAAACACTTGGTAAAAGACAAGGGTCGCATCCTGCACTCCAAAGCTCCAGTTGGTCCCCTCGGGAGTGCAGGATCCGGCCCGCAGCATCTGGGTTTTATGCGGGTTGTAGTAGCCGAAGGTTTATTTTGCAAGTATCAAAAGGATGGTCCGAGAAAGTAAATAGTTCTCTTGTTGCTTAGAGATTCTCTTAGTGTTTTGCTACTTCACAGCAGTATTGTCCTTCAAAGCCTTTTTAATTAAAAAAAAAAAAAAAGTCTTAAATGTCTACTCGCTTCTTCATCTCCGTATTGTTAAAGTATTGCCACATACCTGTAAACTTACATGAGAGTATAGAACACATAGGGGAGGGAGACGAGGGGGCGGAAAGCACAAACAAGTAGTTTACAAGCTCAACATTTTTTTCTTCTTTTTAATAACACCCTGCATAGGCTGGGGAGGTCTCCGGGGAGAGGGGCTGGGCGGCGGGGCATGGAGGGAGTATGTACAAGCGGGACGCGGCCGGCTTTGCAGGAGGTCGTGGTGGATCGTAACAACACACAACGCGTTGCGAGACAATTAAAAAGTAACAGTCCTTTGCACGCAGCGTGCAGAAACACCTTGGTCTGTCTTAGGGAAAGCGGGGAGAGAAGCCAGGAAAGGGAGGAGGGGTCTCGGCCCCGGCGGCGGGGGTTGCACAGCTAGGAGGTGTTTAGAACGGGTCTGGAATACACACCTTGGTAATAGGAGGGCTCTAGGGCCGAGGGCTCGATGCTGCTCCGGCCAGCCATGGAGGCGCTGCCCAGGGGCAGCCCGCCGGGGATGCTGGCCCCGTAAGAGGAATATTGCAGTGCCTGCTCGTAGGCTTTGAAGTCCAGCTTGTGCTGCTGCTCTGAGGAGGACATGAGGTTGTTGATGGAAAACGGGTGGTTGAAGGAGTAGTGGGGATCACCCTTGAGGTGGAGCTGGGGTTCGTGGGCTAATGAGTGAGGGGGGTGTGGGACGGAGGCCAAGGTGGGTACAGAGCTGATGGTGGAAGAGGCGGCCGAGGCCGAGGTCTTTAGCTCCGTGCTTGATCCACTGTGGTCCATAGACTGGGGGCTGGTGGACGGGTTGGAGCTGGAGAGAGAGGTGGCCGTGTCCAGCTGCGCAGGTTTGTTGTGGCCTCTGTGCAGGGGGGAGTTGGAGCTTGAACTAGAGGCCCCGGCCTGATCTTTCCTGCCCTCCTGAGTGGCTTTACTGTTCGCCGGCTTCTCGCACTTGAAGCGCTTTTGCCGGCGGAGGTAACAGCCGTTTTCAAACATGTTGCCAGAGTCGGGGTGCAGGGTCCAATAGGAGCCCTTGCCGGGCTTGTCGGGAGAGCGGGCCACCTTGACGAAGCAGTCATTGAAGGAGAGCGAGTGGCGGATGCTGTTCTGCCAGCGCTGCTGGTTCTGTCGGTAGTAGGGGAAAAGGTCCATGATCCACTGGTAGATCTCACTCAGCGTCAGCATCTTGCTGGGTGCCTGCTGGATGGCCATGGTGATGAGGGAGATGTAGGAGTAGGGCGGCTTGGCGTGGGGGTAGGTCCGCTTGAAGGACTTAGCGTCCCGTGTCCTGCCGAGGTTGGACTGGGTGTAGGCCATGGGGCTCATGCAGGGGTTCATGCCGCCGTAGGGGCTCAGCCCATTCATGGGGGCAGGCTGGGCGGACATGGCGTTGATGCCACCGGGGCTCAGCGCCGTGCCCATGGCGGCCACGCCGGCTGG